TGTTCTAGTGCATACTTGCACATACATTAGACATCCTACTGCAGATGCATAAGGAATGACTTTCATCTCTTCCCTTTCCAAATCATTTCTTGGGCACTGATTTTGACTGAATTTGTCACCCTTGACAATAGGAGCAACACTTGAAGCACAACCCAAAATTCGAAATCTCTCTAAAACTTTATTGATATAGGCCTTTTGGGATAATCCAATCAATCCTTAGGATCTATCCCGATAAATTTCTATGCCAATGACATAGGTTACCTCACCCATTTCTTTCATATCAAAATTTCTAGAGAGAAATTCTTTAACTTCATGTAGCAACCCTAAGTCGCTACTGGCAAGCAAAATATCATCCACATATAGGATCAAAAGAATGAACTTATTCCCACTAACCTTAAGGTATATATATTGATCAACGATGTTCTCTTTAAACCCAAAAGAAGAGATAACATCATGAAATTTGTAATACCACTGACGTGAAGCTTGTTTCAACCCATATATGGATTTCTTGAGTTTGCAAACCATATTATTTTCTTTATCTGAATGAAAACTTTCAGGTTGTTTCATGTATACCTCTTCATTCAAGTCCCCATTAAGAAATGTCGTTTTCACATTCATTTGATATAACTCTAAATCAAAATGAGCTACCAATGCCATGATAATACGAAGAGAATCCTTTGTAGAAACGAGAGAAAATGTATCACAGTAATCAATGCCTTCCCTTTGGGTATACCCTTTGGCTACAAGTCTGGCCTTATATCATTCAATCTTACCTTTTGGGTCTCTTTTAGTCTTATAAACCCATTTACAGCCAACTGCATTGACCCCTTCTGGCAATTGAACCAAATCCCAGACTTGATTTTTAGCCATAGAGTCTAGTTCCTCTAACATGACATCATACCATAACCTTGAATTTTCTCCATTCATGGCTTGTGAAAACGTAATTGGGTCTTTATCAATTCCAATATCATGGTCAATTTCTTGTAGATATACAACATAATCAGAAGGGATTGTAGGTTTTCTTACTCTTGAGGACCTTTTTAACTATATCTGTTCATTTAGAACAGGTTCATTGATAACAGGATTCTCGTGGGTAGGAACTTCTTGATTTACTTGTTCTTCCATAATAACATCTTGAGAAATGTCTTGAAGTACAGGTAAATGTTCTTTAGTCACAGGTCTAACAACCAAATCTCGTGTTTCCTTAAAAATTAAATTTCGAGGTGTTCATTCCCACTAATGTCAACATCTTCAAGAAACCTAGCATTTCTTGCCTCAACAATAATAGGTTTATGCGAAGGACAATAAAACTTAAACCCCTTGGACTTTTCTGCATAGCCAATAAAAAACCCACTTATTGTCTTTAAGTCTACCTTTTTCTCTATAGGATTGTACACCCTGACCTTAACTGGATAACCCCATATGTGTAAGTGTCCTAAACTTGGTTTCCAACTATTCCATAACTCAAAGGGTGTTTTTGGAACCGATTTGGTTGGAACCCTGTTTAAGATATACACAGCAGTTTTTAAGGCCTCATTCCATAGAGATAAAGGGAGAGAAGAATTACTAATCATACTTTTTACCATGTCCATTAGCGTTCGATTTCTTCTTTTTTGCTACACCATTTTGTTCTGGTGTGCCTGGCATCGAATATTATGCTATAATGTCATCCTCCATAAGGAATTTTGCAAATGGATTTGGTCTTTGTCCTTATTCTGTATATCTGCCATAATATTCTCCTCATCTATCCAATCGCACTATCTTGATTTGTTTTTCCCTTTGTTTCTCTACCTCCACCTTATATGATTTAAAAGCATCAAGTGCTTCACTTTTATCATTTAAAAGGTAAAGATACATAAAACATGTGCAATCGTCAATAAAGGTGACCAAATATTTTTGACGATTGAAACATGAAATTTGAAAAGGTCCACATATATTAATGTGTATGATCTCTAAAATTGAGAACTCCTTCTGGCACCCTTATTGGTTTTGTTAGTCTGCTTACCCTTTATGCAATCCATACAAATACCAAAAACAAAAAAAAATCAAGAGTATCAAGTACTCCATCATTTACTAATCTTTTAATTCTTTGTAAGGAGATATGTCCTAATCTCCTGTGCCATAATGAAAAAGATTTCTCTGTTTTAGACTTACACTTGATGCCAATATTTCCATACAAAGCTAAGTGGTTATGCTTAATATTAGGGTTTAAATCTAATTTATATAAACCATCGACCAAAATACCATTACCAATAACAACAGAATCTTTTACAATACTTAAAGAAGTATTAAAGAAATTAAAACTAAAACCAAATCCAACAAGTTTTGAAATAGAAATCAATTTTTTTGAAAAAGTTGGAATATAAATAGTTCTTTCAAGTTCTAATGTAGAGCCAGATGGTAATGTGAGTCCGTAGGTTCCAACCGCATCCACATGTGAACTCATCTTATTTCCCGAATAGATGAAACATTCATTTTTCGTCGGTCTACTTAGTTTGATTGAACCCTGCATGGTATTGGCAATGTGAATTGTAGAACCATAATCAATCCACCATGCATCATTAAATATATTAACTACATTTGATTCATAACACACAAAGGAAAAGAGATTACCTTTTTTAAGCAACCAAGCCTTATACTTTGGATATTGATTTTTCATGTGCCATTTCTTTTTGCAGAAGAAGCATTTGATGGTACCCTTATCGTCAACTTTGCTAGTTGATGCATTCCCCTTCTTCTTAAATTACACACCCTTTTTCATGTCCCTTTCCATGAGTCGCTAAATGAGCACTTTCTAGCTTCTCCTGATTCAATCTCCCCTCCTCTTGAACACACATGGTAAGCAATTCATTAACTGACCATTTTTCCTTATGTGTGTTATAAGAAATCTTGAATGGCCCATATTCAGCAGGCAGGAAGTTGAGTATAAATTGGACAAGGAATGTCTCTGAAAGGTAAATTCCAATGAGTTCATTTGGACAGTTGTATCTCTCATTTCCATAATATGTTCACGGACCCCTTTATCACACATATACTTCATTAATGATAATTTGGTCATTAGGGTGCTAGCCAATACTTTATCGGAACTTACAAACTGTTGTTCAATTACTATCATGTATTATTTTGCTTTAGTACATTCAGGAATTAAACTCCTTATGTTTTTCCCAACATGACTTTTAATGAGACATATACTTAAGCGATTTGATCGCCCCCACCTCTCATAAGAAGCCCTTTCACTTGGCGTACTTGATTTCGTGGGAATGGGTGGTTCATCCACACGAAGTGCCAAATCAATGTCCGCACACCCCAATCCGAATAATTATCACCAGTTAAAAATGGGATATGAGATGAACCAATATTGACAGAACCAGATGAAATTACTGCAAAAAGAATACATACCAAACATTACTCTACTATACGATAAACTTTATTGAAATTCTTAACCCACGTTAAAAAATTTCATATCAAAACAATGTGTCATTATAACTTTCCTGTGGGCAGAGATTTTAATACACTAAAGTTTTGAAAATATAACCATAATAGGATAAAATATTCTTTACTGGCATTAAACTGATAATGATACAGTCCTATGGGCATTTGTGTTCATTGTCAGTTTAATTCAATATCCCCTTTTTTTTTTATCTACATTCATTCATAAACAATGATTATTTTCCTATAGGGCATAATACAACACTTTTTTATGAATGAACTATAACCTTTTAATACATAATCTTTATGTGATATAAATATCATATATTAAAACTTTTTTATTTTTTATTTTATTTTTTATTTTATATCACAAAACCAACAACCAAAGATGTTATGGCTACTCTCTGGTTAAAAATACACATTAAAATAGTAGTAATACTCATACTTTAATAAACTGCATGTATGAGAATATATTGGACATGAATTTTTTAATATGCAGAGACTGTACAACTGTGGAGTATTCTTCATTTGTATAGAAATTTTCAAAACTATACAACTCCAAAGTATTCTGTATAAATAAAAATTCATTATAAAACAAATCTTTATGGTTTTATGATAAGATTTACCCTTTTTTAAAGCAGTCATGAAACTGCTCGGGTCTGAATCACTTTTACCATCAAAAAGGCCAACGTTGTTCCCACTGTATAAATTCACGATGACATTCTCCTATATTTTAAGCAGTCGTTAAGCCGTTTGGGTCTGAACACTTTATTCATCGCAATCCTTATGGGTGTAGTATTCTACGACTTCATTCCAACCAACATAACCAAACGATAAAACAGTACCAAAAAAATATTACAACAGAAACACACCCACCAAAAATAATACAGAACAAATAGACCACAAAGGAAATATTACTAGCCAAAAAGACAACGGTGACATAGCCGTTAAACAAATATTACAGGTCAGAAAAAGAACGGCAACACAGTCGCTCGCTGAACAAATATTACAGACATACAAACCGAAGGATAACATAGCCAAAAGGTATCGCTCTAATACCAAATGAAAGAAACTATCAAGTCCAAAGAGATCGCGTTACTTCCGACCATGAAATCAGATTGGTTAATGCCTACAAAATAAGTTTAGAAATCCTAATGATGTTCACGCATATACAAATCTTTATGCGTGTATTTGATGGAGACACACAGACTGCTTTTGTTAGGCATGGAACCTCTATAAGGATACTGTATAAATAAAACGAGAGAGAGCAATCCATCATGCAAACCCTTGTTTTAAACTAATCAGATGATAACCACCATCCACTTCCCACAACCACGCTATTGTAACTTCCTATAACGTGCAACGTGTGTCAGACACAGTGTATTAGAATATAAATGTAGTGTGGCAATATAAGCCACACGTGTGTTATAAATACACATGTCTAACAATAACCGCATGAATATGTGGATTGACATGAACCTATCTACTTATTATTTGTTGTACTGGGATTTATTTTTTGGTTTCAAGCTAGATACAGTTTCCTAGTATATTAATATTTTTGGGGTTTCTGAATGTTTGATGCAGCTGAAGAGCTGATTAAGGAGAAGAAAGTCCAAGTGATTATCGGCATGGAGACATGGGAGGAAGCGGCTTTAGTGGCAGACATTGGAACCCGAACTCAATTCCCAGTTCTTTCATTTGCAGCTGCTGCTATTACATCCGAATTGGTGCGGCTTCGATGGCCTTTCTTGGTGCAAATGGTTACCAATGGCTACGAACAAATAAATTGCATTGCAGATATTGTTCAATCCTTCAAATGGCAGAGTGTTGTAGCTGTCTATGAAGAAGACATCCATGGTGGTGATTCCGGGAAGTTAACCATGTTATCCAAGGCCCTTAAAAAGGTTGGGTCTACGGATATAGACTATCATCTTGTCCTTCCACCATTTTCTGATCTATCTGAACCTGATCAGGAAAATTTTGTTAATAAAGAGCTGTCTAGGTTAGAAAGCAGCACAAAATCAAGGGTGTTTATTTTCCTTCAGTCATCACTACCGCTGACAAATATTTTGCTCAAAATAGCGAAGAAGAAGGGATTTATGCGAAAAGACTGTGTGGATAATTGCAGACACCACTGCAAACCTTCTGAATTTTATCAGCCCTCCTGTTGTCTTTGCTATGGAAGGTGCACTTGTAATCAAACCCTACTACTCTGAAAACAGTGATTCTTTCAAAGACTTCAGTGAGCAGTTTTGCCAAAAATTCCAATCAGCTTATCCTGAGGAAGATAAGTCTGAGCCGGGAATTCATGCGCTACGAGCTTATGATAGCATTATGACTTTGACACAGGCAATGATGAGATGGTAAAATGAGCTCCTCAAATATGTTGAGGGATAGTATTTTATCGAGCAACTTCACTGGTTTAAGTGGAGAAATGCGTTTTCAAGAGGGTAGAGTACTATCAAGCTCTCAAAAATTCAGTATAGTGAACATTGCCAATCAGGAATACAAAAACCTTGGCTTTTGGTAATCAGAGTCCAATTTCTCGGAGGTACCAAAAAAATTGATAACGTGGAAAAGTTGGCTGGTTTCGCAGAGGTGATATGGCCTGGGAATCCAGAGAGAATCCCAGGAGGATTGGCGCCCATGAAAATTGCAGTTCCTGGTAGAGTCTCTTTTAAGAAGTTCCTCAATGCAGAATGGAATGAGAACACAGATGAGAAGTACTTTACTGGTTTTTGTATCAGTCTTTATAAGGAGGTGCAAACAATTTTGAAGCGACGTTATAACATTCATTTGCCATCTCCAAATGAATTTCAAGAGTACGATGGCAGCTACAATGATTTGGTTGAATCTGTTCATAACAAGGTAATTCACACATCACCTAATCTCTTGATCATTTTCATACATTTGTCAATTTAGTTATAGCCATTTAATTTCAAGTTAAGTATACAAGTTACATGCAACTCTATCTATCCCCCACCTGCAGCTACATGTTACTGATAAACATGTCTGTTTTTTACTTGTGGTTCAAAATTGATATATTGAAGACTTTTGATGCTGCTGTTGGTGACATAACGATAATAGCAAAGCGTTGGAGCCTAGTGGAATTTACTGAACCATTTATGGAGTCAGGTTTGTCGATGGTAGTTCCAGTGAAGTCTGTAGCTTCGAAAGTATGGTTGTTTCAAAAGCCCTTCACCATGGAAATGTGGGTGGCTACGGGGATCATCTTCATCTACACAGTGCTCGTAGTTTGGTTCTTGGAGCAACGTTCCACCCCAGAATTTAGTGGCCCATGGAGGGAACAGCTTAGCAATGTGCTTTGGTTCACCTTCTCTACTCGATCTATTCTTTGTTCACAGTAAGTTATATTATTTATAAGTTATATACCCCCTTATTAGGCTAATGGTAGCATGAAGTCTATTTTCTTTGAATTCTCTCCAAATCATGGTAGGCAACGGATATTTATATATGCTCTTAAATAAACAACATTGAGTACAAATTATCGGTCCTCATAACCTTGCCTCCAAAACTAAGTATAAATAAAATGGTACTGCATGTTAATTCTCTCTGATTGCTGTTTAACTTTATATATGCTAGTTATTGCATAGAGGCAAAGAAATGAAATCCCACTAATTTTTTACTTTGATATATACCTGAGAGTAAATATTTGAATAGTGAGGAGGCCACAGGTCCTATTATAAAATATGAGATATAATTAGCAATTGCACTTATTGGAATTAAAGCCTTGTTCATCTAGAAAAGTATTTATACACATACACCTTCTTCTTCTTTTTTTCATTTTGAAGGGCAGAAGATTCAAAGCAACTACACTCAATCCGTGATCGTGGTGTGGCTTTTTGTGGTGTTGGTCCTAACACATAGCTACACTGCCAGCCTCACTTCAATGCTCACCTTTTCAAGACTCCGGCCAACTGTGACAGATATCGAGTGGCTACAGAGGACAAATGTAAGAGTGGGGTGTGCATGCTATGGTCGTACATTTGTTAGAAATTACTTGAAGCATGTGTATAAATTTAAACCAAAGAACATCATCCACATCAGAAACCAAAGCGAGTACCTGAGGGCATTCGAGAATGGCAATATTTCAGCAGCATTTCTTGAAGTCCCGTATGCCAAAGTTTTTGTCAACCAATACTGCAATCGGTACGAGTACGGATCATTCACCAGCAGATTTGGAGGATTCGGCTTCGTGAGTAGTGGATGGAACTCTTTGCACTCTTTTCATTCTCTATTATCACATAGTTAACTGCTACACTAATTTTAAAATAAAAATAAAAAAAAATAAAAACACACTGCAGGCATTGAATGTCTTCGACTCATTTTATTGATCTTTGCATAATCTCGAATAAAAAATTAAATATAGAATGACAACTCTGTTTATGAGCTTACGGTAACTAATTGTGATTAAATTATTCTCATGCAGGTCTTCTAAAAAGGTTCTCGATTAGCTGCTCTTGTTTCTGAAGCCATTCTTGACATATCAGAAAATGGGAGGCTAAAAGAATTAGAAGAGAGAGAGTTGTTTGATCGCTTCTTAGAGTGTTCAAAATTCCGAGCTACTAAAAACAGTGATAGCTTGAGCATTCAGGGCTTCTTGGGTCTATATATAATCTCTGCAGCCACTTCCACCATTTGTCTTCTACTCTACCTAATTATGAAGAGGAGAATCCCGCAATATTTGAGTAACACAGAAACTAGAATTCCAGAGAGAGCTCCATCTTCAGGAGATCACATTGAACTCAACTGTACTGTTATCAAATTTTTCTATTTTCTTTTTTTCTGGAATTTATTTGATTTTTCTAGATTATTTCAATCATTGCCTCGTTTTGCGTGTCATATGGGTCCCAAGGGTCATTTTGGTCATTTTCTTGAGTCGAGCATTTTAGAGATGTGTTTTTAATTACCTTAAGACAATTGGAGGTGACATGATTGATTTTAGGATTTTCGAAAGTCGGGAACCTCTCCCGATTTTGCCATTTTGAGTGAGGGGTATAATGGACTTTTCTCATGCATATACATATACATATATCTATGCATTGAGGTAGATATTTTAGGGACTTGGATGACATTGCTTGGGAAGGGAAAGGGCAAATGGGTAACTTGCCAAAAAGCTAATAACCACTAATGGTGACATTTGGCACCATTAGGACCACAAAGCAAAATGAAGACCAAGCCTAGTCTTCTTCCTTTTCCATTTTCGGCCAACTCCCTTCTCTCTCTACATTTTATCTTTCTCTCTCTATATCTATCTACACATATATACTTCCATGCTAAAAGCTGAATTTTAAGAGGTTTAGAGTATGAATTTGGTGAAGCTAAAAAAAAATAATAATAAATAAATAAATAAATAAATAGGAGGAGGGGGAAGGCAAGAGGGCTGGATTACGTACTTTCATGGCCACCATATTTCATCACTGTTTCTCTCTTGTGCTCAGTTAAGGTATGTTTGCTCTAACACTTGTTGCTTCGTGTGATTTGGCTCCATATGGTCCATATTGTTCCAAGTGTCACATTGTCGGTGATTATTAATTCATGGCTTAGTTACTCATTTGCCCTTCTTCTTCCATTGCAATGCCAAGCTAGTCCCTCAAAATATCTACCTCAATGCATAGAAATATTTATATGTATATGCATGTGAAATGCCAATAACTCCCCTCAATGAAAATGGTAAGATCGGGAGAAATTTCTGAGCTTGAAAGTCATCTCGACTTTCAAAAAATTCTAAAAATAATTCTGTCACATGTAATTGGCTTAAAATAATTAAAAATTCATTTCTAAACTTTCGGCTCGAGAAAATGACACAAACAACCCTCGCGTGTGGCACGAAAAACGAGGTACGAAAATAAATAAAATAAAATTTCAGAAAAATCCAAAAAAATCCAAGTCATTACATTAACCGTGCCTCTATCTGCAGCATAAGTGAAAACCCATCTCTACCAAGTTTCTGTTTCATGATATGCTTTCAATCTCAAGTTGGGTTCATACTTACCTTAAATTTGAGAGGGCTGTTAGATTACAAGTTTGCCCTTTTACCTACTACCTAAGTTTCTTGTACACTCGCACATTACCATCTATGATTACACAAACTCTATTATCATTTATAAATGACTTGATCATCATTCAACTACCCTCAAATCTTCTTATATATACATAACAGTGATGATTTCTTTATTAATGCAATACAATATTCATTTATTTATTTAACATTTCAAACTTGAAATAGCTAGCTAAATGCAGATTTGTGATTTTAAATTGATTTTTCTTAGCAGTAGTTTTGGTTTTGAAACTGTTGACTCATTGACTTAGTGTAATTTTTTTTTACACAAAAAAAAAAGGGGGATTTTTACATATAAATGGTGCTAATGGCCAATATTTACTATTTGATGAAGTCAAAGTCTTATAGTTTCGAAAAAATAGAGTTGACCAAAATGTTGACGTGAATATGGAAAAACACTGTTCACTTTCATAGGAGTACCACTTTTAGGCACGTAGGTACCACTTTTTGTGCACACAGGTACCACTTTTGTTTTGGGTATAGAGGTACCATTTTTTGTGTATCATGTACCACTTTTTTGTGCAGCACAAAAAGTGATACTTGATGACAAAAAATGGTGCCTATGTGCCTAAATGTGGTACCTCTATGAGGATAAACAGTGTTTTTTCATGTGAGACTTTGACTCCATCAAATGAAAAATATGGGTTATTAACACCATTTATATTTAATAATTCTTTAAAAAAAAATTCCTCATTGAATCACCAATCTGAAACTTATGACCACATATATTGTTTTAGTTGGTGTTGATAATATGTTGATATTCAATAACTTCTCATTTTTTATTTGATGTACTAAAATATTATTTCATTTTTTTAGTGTCATTAAATCCTCAATGAATCGGTCATTTTGAAGATCTCTAGTTGTAGGAATGAAATGACAGGATTTTTGCCAACCAAACCAATTATCACAAAAAAAAATTAAAGATTTTTGTTTTTGATCCTTTCTCTAATAAACCAAACCATAATACACACACACACACACACACACACACACACACACACACACACACATATATTATGGCGTGGGAACTCTTGTAACTATTCACCCTTTGAACTTGTAGCTATCAGGTAAATCCCCTGCTATCCATCTCGACCCCACAGTGCAAGTAGTATTTTAAGTCAAAGTATTGTTGATAAATGTGCCACGACGTCTACTCGAGTGGCACCGTCTCTGAAAATAAGCACACCTAGCCAGTACTTATCTAGGTTGCCCCTGAAAGGACTAAGTATCCTCGAGCTACTCATCCTATAACTGAATTTACTGACCGAGGAAGGGGTCGCTACCCTTCCTCTCCTGTGGACGTGCCCCTCTCCAGTCAGATGGGCCCCTCCTCATTTCCTTTCCGAGGTTCCTTCCTGTAGGGGGAATCTCGAGCATTTCTTTCAGCCTTCGACTTGAGCCTCTCTTTTTACGGTGGGAACCTCGAGGCATAGAGCCAGGATAAAGCTTCTTGGGGCCGAGAAGGCTGAACCTCGAGGAAGGTTTTTTCCCCTCTTTTCAGTTGCGAGAAAATAAATATACGTGCAACGATGTCTGCTCGAGTGGCACCGTCTCTGAAAATAAGTACACCTGGCCAATACTTATCTGGTGTGCCCCTGAAAGGACTAAGTATCCTCGAACTACTCATCCTATAACTGAAATTACAGACCGAAGAAGGGGTCGCTACCCTTCCTCTCCTGTGGACACGCCCCTCTCTAGTCGGATGGGCCCCTCCTCTTTTCCTTTCCTGGGTTCCTTCTTACAGGGGGAACCTCAAGCATTTCTTTCGGCCTTCGACTCGAGCCTCCCTTTTTATGGTGGGAACCTCGAGGCATAGAGCCAGGCTAGAGCTTCTTAGGGCCGAGAAGGCGGAACCACGAGGAAGGCTCTTTCCCCTCTCTTCAGTTGCGGAAAAATAAATATATGTGCCACAACGTCTACTCGAGTGGCACCGTCTCTGAAAATAAACACACCTAGCCGTACTTATCTGGCGTGCCCCTGAAAGGACTAAGTATCCTCGAGCTACTCGTCCTATAACCAGAGGCGGAGCCAGGATTTCATTTGAGAGGGGGCGTCGTGTATTTGACGGAAAATAAAAACTCAACTAACATTCTAATTTTTTTTTTTTTTTTCATATCAAAAGGCAAACAAAAAAAATCATAGCAAAATCACAAAATTTTCAAGTATTGATTTAATTAAATATGAATATTGATTTAAGGTACAACAAAAAATTACCTATGCATGCTGAAATAACGGTTGAATTTTGAGCCATCGGAAAGCAATCATACTCCATCTCCAGTCCAAGCACTTTGTGAATCCTGAGAACCAAAGAAAACAAGATTTTGTTTAATTATTTTAATCTAAACTAACAAGCAAATTAACAAGATGCTTTTCGGTAATGAGAAAGAAAAATTCAAATAAAATAATTTATTATTCAACTGAAAAAGGACAAAGTTAAAATGTTTGACAAATTTGATTTTTTATAATATTTCCATTCAAAACATTACATTTGTCCTCCACGGGATTTCATTTTTTGAACGCGCTGTATGATAGCTTCATTATCTATGCTCCTAAATATCTCTCTTTCTACATATACAACCAAGCTATCATTCATAAATTGATCTCCCATTCGATTACACAATTCATTCTTTACAATATTCATAACAGAAAATGTTCTTTCCACCGTGGCAGTTGCAACTAGTAAGATCAACGCCAATGTCACAAGTAAATACACCAACAGATACACCTTGTCCTTTTTTGCCTCCACCATTTTTTTTGCAAGAGTAAAAATCCCTTTCAATCCTTCAAAGCTACTAGTAGAGCACACATTAATAATATAATTTGTAAGTTGACTATCAAGTTCTCTAAGCTTGACTGTAGAAAATTCTTTTGGATAATATTCAGCAAAACGAATTATCTTTTGTTTGTCAAAAGCAAGGAATGAATCATCTGGACATAAACATGACATACAAAGAAGTAACTCAGAACTAGCCTCACTAAAACGACTATTTAGCTCTTGAAGTTGCATATCTATCACTGAATAAAACAACTCAACACGATAGTAATGCAAGTTTGTCATTTCTTCCATATTACGTCGTCGACGTCCTTGAGCAAAGAACTTATCATCCATATTGGGAACATCAATCCCATGTCTCTCACAAAATGAAGAACCTTCTTCGAGTAAAGAATCCCATCCATCCTCCCTCGTCATTTGTAGTCGCTGCTTACATACTTTGACTAAAGACATAGCATTCACGATATCTTGATCTTTCCTTTGTAGTGCTTTTGATAATTTATTTGTCATTTCCAACACTGTCGTCATCAAATGAAGACTGAATACAAAATTAAAGGATTGTATTGTCCCAAGTAGAATAGTTGTTTCACCTCTTTAGTCGAATCTAAATCCATCCTCTTCGATAATCTTGAGAAAATTATAATTAAACTCATTAAAGTACCATAATGTGACCCCCAACGAGTGTCTCCTGGTCGTATAAGAGAAGTGCTCTGATTTAGGCCTTGCCCACTTGAAAGCTTGCCATTGTTAAGTCCTTCAATAACTTTAACAATTTGTTTCTCTCGAAGCATATCACGGCGTTTACAAGATGCTCCAACTACATTCACCACATTAGTAACAAATAAGAAAAAAGTGGAAATTTGGTTATGATTCTTTGCCACAGCAACAAGAGCCAACTGAAGTTGGTGAACAAAGCAATGACCAAAAAAAGCAAATTCGTTCTCTTTCAAAATAAGCGTTTTGAGACCGTTGAACTCACCTTGCATATTGATAGCCCCATCATAACCTTGCCCACGCAGTCTAGAAATGCTCAATCCATGTGTAGAAAATACATTATCAATCGCTGCCTTAAATGAGAGAGCAGTTGTATCCCTAACATGTACCATACCAATAAAACGTTCAATGATACTCTCATTCTTCACATAACGTAACACTATAGCCATTTGCTCCTTTATTGATACATCACGAGACTCAGCAATTAAAATAGAGAAAAATGCATCACCAATATCTCTAATAATAAAATTGATGATCTCTGTTGAAATGGAATTAATAATTTCTTTTTGGATCTCATGTGACGTTAATTTCAAATTTGCAGGAGCATTTTCCAATACAACGGCTTTTACATCCTTATTGTGATCAGCATGAAATCTCAAAAGTGTAAGAAAGTTCCCTTGATTGTTTGAATCCTCAGATTCATCATGCCCACGAAATGTAAGTCCTTGGTGTAAAAGATATTGAATACATTCAACTGATACAGTCAAACAAGTTCGATATTCAATTCTAGCTTGGTCTGACTGTTTGTAGAAAATTGTTGGAATGTGTTGATTTTTGTTCATCAAAGCTTCACAAGATCTCCAAGCTTGGTTGTGGAAACTATTAGGGCCTCCAACATGAATTTGAGTCTTTCACTCTTCTTCCAATTTGAAAACCCCTCACCCACAAAGGAGTCACCTCCTGATTGTTCTCCAATATCAGGCTTGAAAAGGAAACTAACTTAGGCAAAATGCCACATCTTTGGCTATGCTATATTCTAGCCAATTAGAATAAGCACTAAACTAAGCAGGGTTGAAACGTCGTGTCCCTTTCCCAAAATTTCTATAAGGAAATTTATGAGTCACAGGCTGACAAGGGCCCTTTAGATAATATGCTCTACGCAGATTGTCTCGAATATTAGGATGATAATCCATTATTCGAGTTCGTAGTCTTGGATCTGCTGAAAGATCATCAAAGTTGATGTCGATACGACTTTGCTTTAAACTTTCATCATTTATTCTCTCTACAAGGGGTGTTAACTGTGATTTCCTTTTAAATATTTGATTAATTTTTTGCATAACTGTTTTAAAAAGAAATATATTATTCACGAATCACGTAAAAAAATTGGTTGTAAACTTGTAATTGTAAATATATTTTAGACTTTGAAGCGTCTAAATACAGTATACACAAATTATCATGAGTGCCTAAGTAAAATTAAACAAATACAGGCTACAGCACTAAAGCATCCTGAAATTATAATGGGAGTTATAATCTACAAGCAAAATAATCCAATATGCACACCCACAAACATTATATATAACTACAGACTGAGCACATATATAGTACAAATCCCCAATTCCCAATCAATGTATAGAAATGTTTCTATCTACCTAATAAAGAGGAAAACATCACAACATTGATTTTTTTTAAAAAAAAAAAAAGACAATTAAAATATGATAAAAGGTAAGCATCACACATTGATTAAAAAAAATAATAAAACAATTTAATTTCCATAGAGTGTGAAAAAGGTAAGCATCATCACAACATTGATAAAAATAAATAATAAAAAAAAACATATCAATCAGCATCACAACATTGATCAAGCAATTTCCAGATACTATGAGTAAAAAAAAAAAAAAACAATGTTATATTATATATGTAATTCCCAAGGAAAGCACATAATAAAACGATCCGTCAATTGGAAAATAGATCGAACTACTAGAAAAACAAAACCTAAATCAGATTGCAAGAAAATTCGACGAATAAACACTGACCCACACAAGAATTGACTCAAAAATCAACATTAGCGATTTGGGTGTTGCAGTAGCCAGATCATACAAAAAAAATAATAATAATAACTAAATTATGTAAATTGTATAATTGTATAAATTGTATAAAATAAAAAAATAAAAAAAAAAATTTACCTATAAATTGTATAAAACAAATCAGGTATCTAAATTGTATAAAATAAAATAAATTGTACCTGTAAATGATGTAAATCAAAGAGTGGATCTTTGATCTTTCCTTCCGAGTCCCAACTCAATCACAAACACTGGTGCTTCAAAGTTGAATAAGATTATAAGAGCATAAATAATCTAATTCGTGTGCAAGAGAGTTGAGAATGGAGATCTGGAATTTCTTTCCAAAACCGGATGAAAACTGAGAGTTGACTTATGTTTTCTGCCTTTTGGAGTTACGGAATAGATAATGCAATATTTGTTTTCCAAATAAAGCAAAAAGTGTCACAACTTCACAAGTATCAATGTATCATTGAGTGGAGAAATCAGAAAAGGACATTCAATCATTAAAATATTATTTATATCAATATAAAATAAAAAGTATAAAAGCACATGGAGCCTGGAGACAGATCAGCCTTGCTGCCTTGGTGTATTAATTTTTTTTTTTTTTTCAGTGGGGGCATATTTGAACTTTTAAGAAAATATATATATAATAATACTATTTTTTTTTTTTTTTTGAGTGGGGGCATGTGCCCCCCCTGGGCACATGCTCCCTCCGCCCTTGCCTATAACTGAACTTACTGATCAAGGAAGGGGTCACTACCTTTCCTCTCCTATGGACGCGCCTTTCTCTAGTCGGATGGGCCCCTCCTTATTTCTTTTCTGAGGTTCTTTCCTACGCGGGGAACCTCGGGCATTTCTTTTGGCCCTCGACTCGAGCCTTCCTTTTTACGGTGGGAACCTCGAGGCATAGAACCAGGATAGAGCTTCTCGGGGCCGAGAAGGCAGAACCCCGAGGAAGGCTCTTTCCACTCTCTTCAATTGCAGGAATCTGAGTATCGGTGGTTAGGTGGCTGAGTTCCAAGGAATCGCCTCACCTAGAGGTCTACACAAGGGGGAGAGAATGTTTAATACCCAATAGCTAAACTCGAGTAATAGAGACCACATAATACATTAAATATATATCTCACAGAATTACCATTGGATAAAGGGGGAGTTAGCTCTCATGACCAAGGGTCCTTACCTAGGTAAATCGACCATTGGATAAAGGATGAGTTAGCTCTCATGACCAAGGGCCCCTACCCAAATGAAAGTAGTATACATAGAACTAAACTCTCACCATTTGCAAAAAAAAAAAAGTTGGAATACTACCACAACTATAATCATAAAGAATGGCCTTTTTAGAGCTTGAACTACCATAAGGTGTTAAACAAATCTGCCTTCTCTCTCTCAATCTCCTCTACGAAGAATTCTTTGTGCTAGCTTGGAGCTCCACTCAACTCCTGATCTCAGCATTCCTGACAGACGTGGAACGATCTCCTCACATCATCACGAACTACCATCAATAGGTATATAATGAAGATGGCTAAATTCGAAGTGGAACAGGCGTCCATTTCATTACCTTACCAATTATACCATATTATTGTCATCCCTAATCACCTTGATCTTGATGGTTATTGGGTCAGAGTTATCTAGTTAGGAAAAAAAAAATTTGATTTACTCCAGACAACTTATGTGATTTTCTAAAGTATAGTTGAAATGGTTTGGTCAGATTTCGGCTGCCCATTTTTTTTTTTTTCTTTTTTACAAACAAACAGAACCATAACATTAAAAAGCAAGAGAATTACAGTCAGAGTGAATAGCGTCTACAAGCCACTTGGGCCAGACATTCCACTCCAAATCGGAACATTCGGCTATTAAAGCCTGCTTGCTCAACAAGTGAGCTATTACATTGCCTTCCCGAGGCACCCAAACTAGAGAAGAACCAGGACAAACCCTAAGAAGGGAAGAGATATCGTGAAAGACCACCATCAACGCTTCAACTGAGGCCTGCAGATTAATAACCAGAAGACAATCTCCTTCAAGGAACACATTTTGATACCCCCATGCAGGAAGGAGAAAGAGACACTCCCAAAGAATAAGGCCTTCGGCAAGAAAAGGATCTCGAACATGAGAAAGGAACATGGATGCAACCTTGATGGCCTAACCAAGGTTATCTCTAAGGATCATACCACCCCCACAAGAATTTCTGGAAGGATTAAATGATGCATCAAAATTGAGTTTGAGAAATCCAAATACCGGCGCACCCCATCCCACAGGAGAGAGAACAACCGGAAGAGGAGGAATAAAAAGCAATCGGTGTTGCCGATTAATATCTTGAAATTCATTGAACGCTTGGAGGGCCTTTTGAACAGCATCCCCCGGATCCCAGCGCTTGTGTTGGAAGGATAAATCATTACGACACTTCTAGAGAGTCCAACAGATAAATGATGCTAGACTTGAAGACTCCACCGGATGAGCAGACAACTTCCAGCCTTCAGTAAGTGAAACCCAGCGTTTTGGCCAATAGGAAGGTTGAGAATCCCGAAAATCCAACCTAAGAGGACTGAGCAACCAGACCATGCACGCAAAGGGACATGTGCAAAGAAGATGATCAATAGTTTCAACATGATCTTCGCAAAAGGGACAAGAAAACACCTCCGAGCAGCCACGAATGAACAACAGCTGATTAACAGGTAACCTATCATGGAGGCTTTGCCAAAGGAACAACTGAATTTTCCGGTAAGCCGAAATAGACCAAACATCTCTCCACATGAAAGATTTCTGGGCATCAAAACAACAAGCAACACCTGGGAGCAAAACAAAATTTTGGTGAAGGATCTGAAGAGCCACATGGTAGGCATTCTTAACCGAGAAAGCGCCATCAGATGTAGCACCCCAAACTTTACAATCCACACCACCCATTGAACTAATAGGGATTTGAAGGATAAGATCACGATCTCTCGGGTTAAAATGTTGAAACACCCAAGCATAATTCCAGGAATGAGTAGAGTGGATAATTAAATCGGCAACAGAAGAAAAAGAGGCACCAAGAGGAGTGGAAGTGACAGAATGATTAGAGACATCAGGGAGCCAATTATCCGTCCAACAGTTAACTAACGAACCGTCCCCAACTCTCCATTTCATCCCTTTTTTAATCACTTCCCTAGCTGAAAGGATACTCTTCCAAGCCCAAGAGGCTTTCGCCTTATTTGCGGCATCCACAAAAGCATAATTCTTGAAATATTTCTATTTGAAGGATGTATAGAGGAGGGAATCATCATCAATTTCCATACGCCACGCCATTTTAGCAAGCAAAGCCAAATTAAAAGCCTCCACATTTTTAAAACCCAAACCACCATTTTTTCTAGACAAACACAGAGTGTCCCAACTGATCCATTTGATCTTGTTTG